CAGAGAATTTGACTCGAGGATTTTTTGTACTCGAATTATTCGAGGTACTCGTGGAATCGTTTCAGCTCTATTTAGAACAGTGGTTACTCTTATTCTTACATTCCTCGGCCCACCCTGGTGACAGCGATATTAGCCATTTTCATCAGTTCAATCAAATTAGCCCTATAGCACGTCAGCCGCTGCAGCACACGGCGCAGAGCAGTGATGTTTTTGGCCACCTTCAGATTTCATGAGTGTAGTTTCATTCTGTGTTTTTGAAGCTGCAATAGCAAATCTGCTAAACAAGCTAGTTTTTAAACATAAACACTCAACCTTCCCTTCAGGTGTCATCCCCAGGCCATGTCCGCCATATACCAGAACCCTTATAACCAGAGCAAACGGGAGCACTACACACCAATCACCGGTTTCTAGGTCCAAGCGTCTTTTGTTTTCCGTGACTTTAAATTGTGTTTTTCTTTTTGGGACTCTGGTAGTTTGTCCTAAAGTTGCAGTGGTAGCAGCCGTGATCTTCTGTTGCCAAATTCGTAAGCGTGTAATGAGTGGAGGACCCAGGTATTAGACTGACATCCGGATGGTTCAATGGTAGGTTTTGGACTGAGCCGTGTTATTAGCGGACGATTTTAGACAAATGCAAGAGAACCACTTAAATATTATCTCCACAATACATTTATTTCCATACTTTGTTAAAGTGTCGGCTTGTTTTGCAGATTAACCGTTGTAGCTTTAAGCATGCCAACACAACACTTAAGCCACATCTGTTTGAAATATGTGTCAAAAGCATGAATAATAAGTGATAGAAGCTGTCCTTTCTACCGTTTACATGCTGACTAGTTTCACATGACCGGAACATATTTGGGTTCGTTCCAGCCTGACAACTTGCACGCTCCGTTACAGCCACAATGTTCTTTTTTAGGAGCCAAGTCTAGTTGGCGTTCGTACATAATGTAGATATCCAGTGAAAACCAGTTGCAAATATGCAAAAATTGTGAGTTGAGTAGGCAAATGCATGGTTTAGATTGGGCAGTGACCATGCAACGCAGATACACACTTGAACACTCTGTTCAACAGTGCTGAAGCATTGTCATACGGTGCAGGTTAGAAGCTGACAGACTGATTCATGACCTGGAGCAATGGCGTAAATTCAGTTTGATTGGTTGGTGCCCGTTCAGTGATCTTTAAGTTGGACTTGACTCACAACGGTGGAAAATTGAGGCATCAAGCCCACAATCCAGTTATGATAATCCTATCAAAGTGGATGAGAGACGTACTCTTTAGACTTGTTCAGTCAGACAACCTTCTGTTTGGTCTAGAAATAATAAAGTTTCAAACAGTAAAAAATAAACATTTTGTCATTGTTTCAATCATATCCTATAGTTGATTCCTGCTCTAGGTGTTGCATTAACATCAATGTTTGGAATGCAGTCAAGACTCCAAAAGACTACATTTCCCCAATAATTAGTCTTTTTAACTTCACGGTGAAACAACTTTACTTCTACTTATTTCCATGACCATATGATATGCTTGTTATGCTACGTACCTCCAATAACTCCCTCTCGGGGCACCGAGGTTAACGTAGCAAAACGATGGGCTTAGTTAAACATGCCTAAATCTGATTAGGCCCCGCCCCCACTGGAGAGGCTTCTGGGATAGCATGCCCTCACGCTTCTTCAGGAGGGAAGGATTCCAAGTTCCTTTCTGCCCATCCCCCAGATTCACATCTCTGCCCCTCAAACGGGCACTCAAGTGCAACCAGCATTTGTCAAACAAGTCTTGGGAGGAATCAAAAGGAAGATGGATGGAGAAAGAAGAGAGGGTTGTTGAAATGGGTCTATTCTTGTTTGTTTGCGTTCTCCGGGGACTTTGTGTGTCAGTCATTTTTTGAGCACAATTAAAGTTAATGAGCTGTTTTGTTTGTGCTCTGGTGTGGGTTTCATTAGCAAAACGCTAACTAGAAGTTAAGATGGGACTGTTTGCAGCTTATTCACATTAGGTTTATTGAGTTCCTTCATTGTTTTTATCCCAGCTATACTTGCAAAATAAGGACCCCATGTTGTGTTGGATGGGGAAACCCCACTTTCACCTTTTTTTGGACCTTTTGTGTTCTGCAGTGCAGACATGAACAAAATGGCTGCAAAACGCTTGCCTTACCAATAAATGGTGGTCTAAAGTGTTTCGAATTTCAAGTAAAAGTAACGTTTTGTAAATTTTTAACATCGCTTTGAAACATTTGTCCAGAAATATGTTTTCCACACCTGGTTCAAACTGTTTTTAGCCGATTAGCCTTCCTGAAAAAATCCTGTTTTTGAAATCCCCGCCCTTGTGAGACAAAGCTATAACTGAGAACTTCTGGCAGAACTTCCGTGGACAGATTTTGTTACGAGAGAAAACAAATTTTGTCAACATCAAACATTTCAATTAAGCCTTTAGTAGATTTTATAATCATGTAATTTGATATTTTGAAACGAACAAGAACGAAAAGTTTAGCAACTGAGATTAGGTGGTCATTATCTCTAAAGGGGAAATGCCCGAGACTGGTGGAGGCATGCCGAGGAAAACCAATAACCCAGACTTCTACTGTCCTTTTAAAGCTGTCATTGATGGTGTTTGTGAGTGCTGATGTTTGGTTTACATAGAAATGTGTCCTGCCTTTTGATGAAATGTGTGTATTTTTTTTTTTCAATTTTCTTTTGTTGAGAGGGAGAACTTGAAAAGACTTTAAGGGAAACGGCTGATTCATAAAAGTCCTACAAATGTGAGCTTTTCGTGACAACCCAGCGATAATAAGAGGATGATTCACCCCGGCCCTTAGACGACTCAGCCTTTAGGCTTTTTATTACCAACGTAAAGTGTTGCCAGAGATGCAATAACCTTACTCATCATGGCGGTCCTTCTTAACTCTCTGACCGCAGCGATGTATCTGATGAGTGTACCTCCTCATTCAGGTACTGGCCTGCCCTGACAAATGGTGTTTGTGCAACAAAGAGAGTTTGTATGGGTGTGTGTGTGTGTGTGTGTGTGTGTGTGTGTGTGTGTGTGTGTTCAGTCAGCCCAAAGCAATAAAAGTGTGAAATCATATGTTTTAAATGTCTTTACTTCACAATCATTTATCGTCCTCCTGTCTCCTGCGGAGTCGTTTAATCCCGCTACTCTTCATTCCAGCTTTCCTTGATGAAACTTTGCCCGAACTTGTTCAACGGTAGTAACTTTACTCACGGGGTGAAGCTGAAATCACACTCCTCCTAACGGGTGTATTCTTCTAAAGGATTTGTCTTTTTGACACCCTGTGTTAGTGAACACTGAATCATTGTTGGTGTGACACATTCGTCATCAGTAAAATGGATTTTTTAAAGGTGCGTTGAGACAAATTAGGGATCCGCATCATGACATAAAGCTTGGGCCAGAGTTGGACTGTTGTGGGTACCGTGGACACAGAAATCACTCACATTTAAGCTAAAACCAGAACAAACTTCCCACATTAACCCCAGAGATTTGGTGCTCTCGCAGGAGCAGATTTCCAGAGATGTTCAGAACACAAACCTCAGTCGATTAGAGTAACGGTCGGTTTCAAACGCCGTACGGGAATTGCGCTGTGTCCATTCCGTAGTCTGTGGGATTCAGACGTGGATGTGAAAGAATCAAAACACAGATTGAAAATGTGCCGACATCAACTAAATAATTGATTGATTGATGATTTACATGAAGAAAACGAGGAGGGATGTTGCCGACGAGAAAAGCCGCTACAGGAGCCCGGATGTCCAAGATGGACGCTTTCCAACAATCACAAAAAACACCTCTGACAAAATCAAGCCCACGATATCCGTTTAGCCTGTATGTCTCTCCTAAATAATGCCCACTCTCCTCTTTGACCTAATTAGAATTTTCTGTGCTTGTTTTTCTCTACATTTAGAAATCGGTCTAGTTTTGTTCGCGCGAGGTGCTTGTTAAATTTTTAATTGTGGATTCGCTCAGTTGGGAATGTCAGTCGACCAAAAATGATCCACGTCTTCATCTGCTTCTGGCTTCTTCGACGCATCGCCCGAAACTCGCCTGAGAACAGCAGCAGCCTGTGCTCAGCAGGGGAAATGAATAAGTCCTTTTTCCGTTCCTCCAAAGTTGATCCCTGTGATGCTGTAGGAAATATGACAGTACAGGATACAAACCATCCCTATTTTTGGGAATTAGCTGTTTTAGATTTTCTGCCGTTTCGGCACCGACTGCAGACGTGCTTGATCCTTAAAGAGCAAGTCACCCCCAAATAAACATTTTTTTTGCTGATAAACTAAATAAACGAGTGTCTAATCGTGCTGCAGACACGTGTCGTCGATAATTTGGCACTTCAGTGCATCTTAGTTAAAATTTAAATATTCTGCCTAAAACTGGCAGTGTTGTGCCGTTGTCAGGTAAAATCTCTGCACTGTATTTTAATTTAAATCTGCCACCGCTATTGGCTAAGAAGTATGCTATGATGTAAACTGGTACATTATGATGTCACAATGCTGTCGTGAGCCTGAGTGTGTGTGTATTTGTTAGCGGCTCCGCCCTCTCGGTCTGCCAGGCAACAGCATTTGTTACATTTTTCAAACATGAAGTGGGAGTGGAGTTAGACTCTGGTAGGGGGTGACTTGCTCTTTAAGCTCTGTGTGTTTTGAAAGGTCCGAACTAGATGTACCTTCTCTGTTCACGAGCATCTCTTTGTTTTTATACGTTCTCTACTTCGTCAAACAGAGCTACAATAATCCTGTGAGAAGAGATCTTCACCGTCTTTATCCCACCCACATCACTGCATCAAATCGAAAAGCACAACGGTTTATTAACACTGTCAGATGAAAACAGTTTATTCCCCAAAGACGTACGACGTATATTAAACTTTATTAGATCCCTGGAACGTTTATGTGACAGAGAGTAATGTCTGATGAAGTGAGTTTCCCAAACAAGTGGGCGGTGAATATATATCGTGTGATTTGATCTTTTTGTTTTTTTGGGGGGCTTTGTGTTTTCAGGTTCCATGGCCAACGGGCAGCTGAATGGCTCGGGGTCAAAGGGCAGCCACAAAGAAGATGGGTCCTTGCGCTCTCAGGGCTTGCATGGGAGCAACAAATACGGCGAGGACAGTCCTGCAAAAAAGAGGCAAGTGTGTTCTCGTCGGCTGTTCTGACAGAGCAAAACGTTGATGTGTGTTCGTAATCTTCCGCAACAAATGAACTGATGGATGTTCATCACATCAAGTTTTTCTTTTACTGCCTTCTAATTCTAGAAACATTTTGGGAAATAATGCTTTAAAATATATTAAATTGATGAGTCACACTGTTGTTAAAATAAATGTATGATGATCTGACGGCGTGCAGCGATTGGACTGGTTATAAAAACACATTTGCTTTTTCTCTCGTGTGTATTTCTTCTGCTGCTGCCGAGTCTTGGATTCTGATGAAACTTGGAGATATGAACAGATTGTGTAGTTATTATCACTTGTCCTGAATGTTTTCTGAGTTTTCTCACGACGACTTTTACGTTCTTGTCATTCGCGTTCCTTTTTCCTCCACGACTGGTTCTTTATGTAATTTAGTAGCTCCCTTTAAGCATAACTCCTGTATATTCTGTGTTTTAGCGTCTGCGGGAGATATCGATTCATGTTTCAGTGCAACAGTTTATTGCTCTGATTTATATACCAGTCGTTCACACTCTATCATGTTTCCCTCCTGCCTCCTCAGTTTTCTTCCTCTTCTTTCACTTTTAAACGCTTCAGAAACAAACTTGCATTGAGTTTTAGCGACTCGTTATTCAAGTCAACAAATGTGTGCAAACCGTTGAATTGCTGCACTCCTGTTTGCTCAATGCAGCTTTGAATTATTAGTAATTAGCCACAAATAACAACTTTTCAAGGATGTTGAAATAAATGAAGAACTGAAGTTGTTGCGTTTAAAAACAATAGGCGGTTAATTTCCTGCTTGTAGTTTTTTTTTATGACTAAATGATTGATTTTGTCTGAAAAATGGCTTTTATCTCCCGAGAGGTTCTTTAAAAATCCCTGCTCTCATTGACAGAGTTATTGAAAAACGATAGACTGTGTAGAAAATAACCGGCTTTCATTGTGAATTACAATAAATAATAAATAAATTATATCTAACTGGGTCGGAGAGGTGAAACTCTTGTTAGCTTTACATTGTTCATGTTATTTTATGCAGCGTATTTGTTTTCCTTATTTTCTCCCCCGAAGCACACGGCTGCTGTCGGTGGCAGGTGTGTGTGTGTGTGTGGTTTTGTTCTACCGCTGGCCCCTCACACACATTAATAAGGCATCCAAACATCAGTGTAAAGCTAGAGGGGGGAGTCTGGGTGAGAGGAGTGTGTGTGTGTGTGTGTGTGTGTGTGTGTGTGTGTGTGTGTGTGTGTGTGTGTGTGTGTGTGTGTGTGTGTGTGTGTGTGTGTGTGTGTGTGTGTGTGTGTGTGTGTGTGTGTGTGTGTGTGTGTGTGTGGGGGGTGTCTGGACTGCAGCAGATGTCTCTCTGTAATGAGCATACTGGCTCCATTCACTGCGTGTCAAGCACCTGCCCGAGTCCTCGCTGTCATCCGATACTGTTGCTGGAAAATCTCGGCACGGTCGTTACGGCGTTCGTCTACCTGGCTTTGGAACAGGTGTCCTTGCCACCGACTCATGTTAGGTCCTCCGGAGGCTGTAATTAAACACAGGAGAACATTCTGTGGTTTGGGCATCACCATTCATAGAATGCTCTTCTTGTTAAACGAAGAAAAGAGAGCAGGAAAATTGGGAAATTTGTTTTTCCCGCTCATTCAAATGGAAAAAGCTTATTGCACAACATCGTAGCGCGAATTCTTGACTGAAAACAACAGAGAGGCGGAACTTCAAACTACTAAAATTACAAAACAAATCCTGAAAAATGTTGAATATATTAGCTTAATACTAAATTTGTTTATTTTATAGTATTATTGATTAGCTATAATTTATAGTCACCATTTGTTAGCCTAGTGAACTAGACCAAAATCTTGCTTTGCAAAGTTTGGTCTAGGAACGCTCCATTCTGGTTGGCCAATCACAGCGCTGTGATTGGTCCACAGTGGTCGGCCAATCATGGTGCTGTATTGGCTTTGTGGGCCAATCAAGGCCCTCTATTCATCTGGTGGGCGGGATGATGCGACGGAGTTGCATAATAAATGCAACAAGATGGCGACAGCTTTGACATAAATTATTTGGACTATTTGGACTTGAGCTTTATTAGAATCAGGAGCAGATAGATTTATTTAAGTCCTTTATTTAGAAAGAGGATTTATTTTCATCCTTCAACAGTGGACTCCTCCTGGACGCCTCCCTGGTGAGGTTTTCTGGGCACGTCCAGCCGGGAGGAGAAGAGGGAAGTCTGAGCCTCCCTGCTTAGGCGGCTGCCCCCGCGACCCGACCCTGGATAAGCTGCCGTAAATGGATAGATAGATGGAGGAGTTGGAGCTCAGTAAAGAACATACACACTGACTAGAACAGCATTATAAAACAAACTGGTGATATTAGGGCATTCTGTTACAAGTTTAATAAAACAAACTCGCTGATCTGTGTGGATAAACTGTCTCCTTAGACCAGGCGTGGGGAACCCTGGTCCTCGAGGACCGGTACCCTGCACGTCTTTGCTCCAACACTTCTGACTCGGTGGTTGATTCACCTGTTCAGCAGCTCGTCAAGCTCTGCAGAAGCCTGCTCATCACCTGCTGATTGTTGAAGCAGGGTTGAAACGAAAATATGCTGGGTAGCGGCCCTCGATGGACCAGGGTTCTCCACCCCTGCCTTAGACTGCGATCCTTTTCAAAAGAATCCGTTGACAGAAACCCGACTATTTTATGATTTTTAATGCTTATTGTGGTAAAATGACAATCATACCAAACAGAAAATAGTATTTGAAACATGTAGATTATTGGTGTGTCACTAGAGATGCATGATATATCGGCATCAATGTCAGAATTGGTCCGATAAATAAAATATTATCAACCAATGTTTTTTCCATCTTGTTTCCATTTGTTTGTCTGTTTCAGAGGGTGAGGGGGGTGGTGTGTAATTGTTTAGTCACGTGACAGTGATTGTAATTATCTCTTAAGCGTAAATGTGTGTGTTGTGTGTACATAATAACATAAATTCACCTTTAATAATTTTCATTCTATACAAAATCTGCTGATTTTAGAAGCATTAATGTCAGTATATCGTTATCGGCAAATACCGGTTATTCTCCAAAGCAGTGATATTAATATTGGTATCAGCACTAGGGCTGTAGCGAAGCCTCGACGACGTCGACGGCTCGATTCTAAAAGTTTGTCGACGTCAGATCCGGAAGTCGACGCACCGCGCCCACTTGTTGCATCCCCAGGAGTTTGTAAATAGAGGAGGAATCTGCCTGTTTTTCCTCAAGTTCGCCCTCTTCTCCGCCTTCACTAACATCTCCGCCAAATACCGAAGACCCGGAACAATGCCCGTCCACTACTAGATTATTTTCCTGTTTTGCCCGCCTTCGTCTCCCGGCAACGGACAACTTCCGGGGTCAGATGCGCTGCTTCGTCTCTACCGCAGATGTAGGAAATCACCAGGAGCGCTTCTCCCTTCATTAAGGAGCTTCTTTCAGACATGAGGAGAGCTGTTTTGGTGGTAGCAGTCTCTCCTCCGTGCTGGTCGGTTTGCTGCTGGGTGTTTTTGGTTTATTTAAACTTGGTAACTTGAACTTAACGCTGGTAAAGCTACTGTTAGCGTTCTCGCTAACAGCTTCTTGCTGTTACGTTTTGGTTTAGAGTTAATCTTTTTTTGTGGTGCAGATCTCCCTTTTATTACATTTAGAGTGTTGTGGGTTTTCGGTTTAGTGTAAAATATCACCTTGAGTTTGGTTTAACCACCCAGTTTAGAGTTTGGACCTTTGGAGATCCTTATTTTGGTCCAGAACCCAGTAATCTTTGCCCAGTGGGACATCCCGACTTATTTGTACTTTTGTTTTAATTCCCCACAGGCAGAATTAGTTTTATTATTCCCAACCTGTGGATGGAAAGATTTATGTTTTTTTGTAGTTGTAAATAAACCTGATCATCATTTTAACTTTTAAATCCCGCGTTATTGTCCCTTCCTTTTTGCACACGAGCCAAACTCCCCAGGAAGGGTCGTAAGACCACTCGCCTCACGCACATAAGTGACCAAAATAAAGCAGCATGGAGACACTCCGTCTTCTACCACCTCTCAGGCAGCAGCCTGCACTCCCACGTTCTACACGTCACCAGAACATAACCAACCAACACAATAAAAGCAGTGTTATACAAAATGGAAGGCCTGTAGTGTTTATTCTTTTACAGTAAGAATTTATCAATTTTTTTGTGGAATTTATTTGAGATTTTCTGGTTTTTGTTAATTGTGCAATAGAAAAATAATCATTAGATTAATTGTCTAAATAGTCATAAGAATAGTCGACTATTCGATAAAATAATCGTCAGAATAATCGTTTTAAAAATAATCGTTTACCCCCAGCCCTAATCAGCACAGAAAGCTCATATCGGTACTCTCTCACGCACGCACGCACGCACGCACGCACGCACACACACACACACACACACACACACACACACACACACACACACACACACACACACAGAGCCCCTAATTGGGATTTAGAAACCGTGACCCCACTAATATACAGGTGTTGGAGAGATAAATTAAACCGCATAAATAATCCTAATTTCACTAATAAAAGCATGATGTTAATCTGAGTTTAGGATTACCATTCAGCAGAGGCTCTCATTACTTCACACAAAACCCCACAAGACTGAAGAAAGCCTTTCTATCTGCTGCGAACGAAAGAAGTGGAGCCAGTGAATGGCAATGCCTTAGTGCCTTTAAACAAAAGTGGGGGCTTTTGTGTGCACGTGTGCATTTTGTATGTGAATGATGACTTTTGTGTCCTGGCGTGGTGGGACTGCACCGTCCCTTAACAGGCCTGACTGTTATGATGCCAGGAGTTTGTTCCACTTCTGGCAGTGGACGAAACAGAAGATGAGGGGAGCTGTGGCGTAGCGCCGTGTCCGGCTCTGAGAGCAGAACAAGAAAAGTTTGTGTGAAAAAGATGAAGGGATCAAGTGCAGACTGGGTGGGGCAGCAG